GGGACCATCCCTTCATAGTGTTTGGAGCAGAGGCTATGTTGTGTACATGCTAACCGAACTTGGCGTCACCTTCACTGTTCGGAGCGACAACATGATGGGAGGAGGGCACAACCACCATCCCCTGCAGAGGTCCCTTCACTGTTCGCGGTAGGATCCCTCCGATCCACACAGGGAGAGGACGCTGCCTGACCATGCACAGGGAAAGGAGGAGGTTCGGCCGGATTGCTCTCAGGAGGCAGTAGTGCTTGTGAGTGGTCATCGACATGCTGTTCCTGATGGAGGAGCCAGACCGAGTGATGATATTTCCCGCTGTGTGCACCGTACCACCACTGTCCCATAGGGTCCATGAGTTATCCCCAAAAGTAAGAACACTGAAATGACCTGGACGATGTAAGACGTATGCCCGGATATTCGGATCCATGCCTATCACGTGATTTTGTGGAGCAGGCTGGAGTTATAGTCTACCCATAAATGTCACAGACAGGACTTCTATGTTCATGCCAAGTACAATGTTGTCATCCTCTGGGCAGACGGCACAGTGCTCTTCTTCTATCCAGCAGACAAAGTCTACAAAATCAGAAACAGTTTAAGGGTTGCAATTGTAGGCAGGGAGACATACATTAATGGCATAGTACACACAGCGGCCTCGCTGTAGCACTATGACATCATCCAATTCTGCAGGTTGTGTGGCCGGGGGAGGTTCATCCAATTCTGCAGATGGCACGGCAGGCGGAGATTCATTGCGGTCATGACCATTTCTATCAGGTTCCTCCTGCTGTATTAATTCCATTGGATGATTTGGATCTGGTATGCGCTCTGGAGAGAGATCATCTCAAGTCGGAGGCTCCATCAGCTGATTTGAAGGTGGATCATTAACATTTGAGGCGTGGGAGCGGGCAGGGTTAGGTGGGAGAGAAGTAGATGGGTGAGATGAACAAAGCGGAGGTTGATCAGTCACACTTGTGCTCAAAGTGGCAGCTAGTCGTGCACATGCCTCGCAGGTAGCTGCACCTCGTGTCTGGTGCACACGCAGGCCTACAGCACTGAAGAAATCATTGCCACGTTGCAGGCATCGGACTCAATCTGTACTACTCCTGGCTAGAGTATATTGAGAGCGACGATGTCGTTCGTAACATTGCAAGCATGTCATCGGAGAAGATCTCTAACCCCTGCAGAGGGCGTGGTATTCATGCTGTTCCAGGACAGGCGAAGCCGCTGTCTTGGAGGCGGCGGCAGAGACGGGGTGAGTGGGTGCGTGCAAGCAGCTGAGTGCGCAGTTGGTGTGTGTCCGGCCCTGGGCCTGGTACTAACCCTGTGGCCATGTGTGTTGTGAGAGCAGCAGGTAGGTAAGAGGGAAGCGGGAAGGTTAGAGGGAAGATGGCCAATGGTAGCCAAAATTAAGTAAGAGCGGCCAGTAGGCAGAAAAGGACAAAAAGAGGGTACTTTTGGGTAGGCCAAGGTAGTATTTTATAATAAAAAGTGCAATGATGTGCCTGCCAAAATGGGCGGGGGAACCAGTAGCCCTAGAGGCAGAGTGGTCTGGAAGCCACCACGGTGGAGTGCAGAAGCCTACAATGAAAGTAGAGGTTATGCTGGACTCTGCCTTATTCTTCAGGAGGCAAGCCGGAATGCTGCTGGTGTGCTCTCCCAGCAAGTGGGGCATTGGGCAGCAGCACTACCATTCATCAAATCAGTGCCAAACAGCAGCAAAATGGTAGCCAAATTCAGTGCAATAACTCAGCTCAAATCATGCATCGGTCATGGGTTGTGGGTCGTCATTTTGGTCAAAGGCCATGCCCAAGTCATGTAAACTGCCTGAACAGAGGCCAGCTGCTGTGGGGTACCCGAAGCAAGGCCTAAAACTGGCCTTCAGAGGCCCAATGTCTGACAGTTGACCATGGAAAGTCAAAGGTCAACAGCAGATCCGAAATTCAAGCCCACGATTCAAAGTCAACATGGACCCAGTCTAGGCCGTCGATCAGTGTTGCATACTAGTGAATACCTTCACCAAGTATGGGCAGAACCAAAGATCAACCAATATAGGATGAGCATATATGCAGCGGAAGTCTGAGATAAGGACTGACTCACATAGACTGAACTCACGTAGACATCACTCAACACACAAGCAGTCATGAGATGGTGGGGTCTGAAGCCATGCATAGACGATGCTTCAGCCCCGTACACCCATACACAGATGAATGGTGGGAGGAGAGACGATGGAGGTGGGAGATAGGGACAGCGCCAGATGTCAAGGAAATAGAATCCAAAATGTCACCGATATAGTAGCCCAAAATGTCACCGAACAAAATCAGAATGTCGTTGACATAAGTCACCAATGTCAGAGGTACAGAATCCTAATGTAACCGATGTCTGATCTGTGATGCCGCCAGGTATCAATCCCAACTATCTCCAATGTCTCGAATCCGGTAAGTATCACATCCTCCTACCACCGAAGTCCAATCACTGATCTCTGTCCAACTTGTATCAATAGTCTCCAGTCTGAAGAAGAAGAAGAAGAAGAAGAAGAAGAAGAAGAAGAAGAAGAAGAAGAAGAAGAAGAAGAAGAAGAAGTCTGAAGAAGAAGTCTGAAGAAGAAGAAGAAGAAGAAGAAGAAGTCTGAAGAAGAAGTCTGAAGAAGAAGAAGAAGAAGAAGAAGAAGAAGACCTGAGAGAGGCAGAGCATCGGTGGAGATGGCGAGTAGCCCTAGGCCCTACCTGATGATACAAGGTGGCGCCTTGGCTGCTGTAGGAGACGTCTGCGCTGCTGGGAGCTATGGCGCTCGCGGTTGCTGTCAGGTAAGTCTCCCTCCTCGCTCTCTCTCTCTCCACAGCCAGCGTTACACCTAGCGCTGCTCTCTAGCGCTGCGCTGGAACAGAAATAGCGCAGCGTTTTGCTCCTCAGTGCTGCCGCACTCCTCTCCTGGAAATGGCTGTTGGCTGGGCCTAAATACGCAGCCAGTCCGGCCTCTGCCTCCCAAGGTGGCCTCCGATCTGAACCGTCAGATCTATCGTCCGATTCGTGGTTCAGGTCGGACCGGTTTTCGGGACAACAGGCTGCCTGAACGGCGGCCTGGTCCAAACGAAAACGTTTGGCCATTTCCCGCCCAGGGCCTGCGGCTGCAGGGCCTGGTCTGGAACCGGTTGCGCAAGGCCAAAGGGGCGGCCTAAAAGGTCTGGCCGTTGGGCCGGCCTGGCCTGGACTATCACGTCCAGGCCCTCGGAAACCCTCAGCCTAGTCGTCGGGCCTGAAAGGGCCCGTGTGGCATGCAGTATGTAACAATCAGACACACTCCTTCGGCTGTTTGCAGGTATCCGTAAGGAATCAAGTCCAGGTGGGAATCTGCAACTGTACGGGATCCAGGCCATTGACTGAGAGACAATCTGGGCCATCGTATGTGAGAGACCAGAGGCTGATCAACCGGAGTCAACACTACAAGTTGACCCAGCCCCTGCTGATCGATATCCAGTCTTGCACATGCTATTTGACGCTGGCTTGACGCTGGCACTATGCTGGCTTGACACTGGCTTGACATTGGACGACGACGCAGGACTGCTTTTGGTTGTATGCTGGCACCTTCCTACTGTCTGCGGCGCCAGCTAGACGCTGGATGATGCTGACGTGACTCTTGGCACACTGATTACAGCATTGATGGAGTACGGGCGAGGAGGAGGAGGATCAGGGCTGTGAGATTGGTCAGAAGAGGAAAGGAAAGCTTACCTAATTGTGTTTCCGTAACATTGCATGCTGTTGAACGTCTTCAAGAGAAGTCTGCGCCAGGTGGCACCATGCTGTAATCGGTTTATTGTCAGATCTCGTCAGGGGAGATTGTTTGCTGACATGGCGAGTGAGGAGGTCCCCGAAGAGGAAGCGGGCTTGTGAGGGAGATCTATCTGCAATGATGATGATGGATACGTTCTCTTCCACCCTATAAGTATCATCTCCCTCCCCTCAGCTTCTTCTCTGGTTACGAGACATTGAACAGTTTGAACTACTTGATTTCATATACGATTTTTGGAGATTGATTCTGCGCTGAGACATTCTGTACTTCGGCATTGACGAGCTTTCCACTTGACTGGGTTCGGAAGTGGGCTTGTGAGGGAGATCTATCTGCAATGATGATGATGAATACTTTCTCTTCCACCCTCTAAGTCTCATCTCCCTCCCCTCAGCTTCTTCTCTGGTTACGAGACATTGAACTACTTGATTTCATATACGATTTTTGGAGATTGATTCTGCGCTGAGACATTCTGCACTTCGACATTGACGAGCTTTTCACTTGACTGGGTTCATTGCATCAGCAAATATCAACCATAGCATTCCCATGCAATGTTGAACTGGCCTGCTGAACCACTTTGCTGATGTGCGACTTTACCAATCCAAGGATAGTGAAGCAGCTGCTGTGCATTACACACAGTATTATAACCTACAGCAAGTCGGTTTATCAATAGAAAACAAATCGATACTTGAATGACACATGGCAAGCTCCTTCCTGAACTGGATTGACTCTCCACCACGCTACACGTCAATATTTCAGTGGTACAAGGTGAGTCTCTTCCAGGACAGAATAGACTCTCCACCATCCTACTCTACAAAGCCCAGTGTGTGCAATACCATTCCTCAGGCCTGTGTGTAATACCTTTCCTTTGGCCTTCAGCTTTCTCCATCCATCAGATGATACAACATACCAGTACTCGCCAAGTGAAAGATGCTAAAGGAATACAGGAAGGGTGCATTCCTGGACTGGATTGACTCTCTACCATCCTGCTCCATAAAGGCTACTCTGTGTGATACTGTTCCTTAGGCCTTCAGCTTGCTCCATGCATGAGACAGTACAACTTACAGGAAGGACACATTCAGTAACTCTTCCAGACAGGTGACAGTCTTTGAAAGTCAAGTGAAAGAGACAACAACGAAAATTTCCTTTGCTTTAAGGAAAATTTTGCATGTCTAGGGAGAGAAGTTTCAAGACCTGAGAACGGGAGAGCAGTTTCTATACTTACATGGGCAGAAAGAACACTGTCTAGCTTCCGAGCTTGCTTTGCCCTCTGCAGCTTGATCCGCTGAAGAGTCACCATAGAGCGTAATTCAGCTGTTGCCGCCCATGCACTGTACAGCGCCGTCTGACACAAGGTATATCAGCACCAGTCAGTTCCATTGGCCGATTTTAGCCACAGAACGGAGGAATGAAGAGTTCTGGATTCAAACGCTGGGGATTGCAGCAGCAACCACAGGACCAACAAGTCACCTTCTGAGGGACAAAAGATGCATAACAAAGCACATTTTGATGCAAGCTTTAGTTACATGCATGTCAGCCATTACCTCTGAGGAAGGAATCACCGACTGTGACTGGTACCGGCAGCCACGCCAACACTAATCAGTTCTGAGCAGGCCATGTTTCACCGACTTTGAGGCCACGTACCGGTCTCAGTCAGTACCTTTTCAAACTACATCTTTGTTTAACCGGGCCTAAGCCTGGCTTAATCTACTCAGCATTTCAGCCATACCACATTTTAAATTCCGATAACTACTCCCCATCCTCTTGCTCGCCTTGTGAATCTCTGCAAGCATGCATGTCTGTGGATATCTGTGTTTCAGCCTTTCAGGCTCGTTTGACACGCGCATTTTCGCACCTGCAATCATTGCATAGGGTCCACAGACAACGAATAGGTCTCTGTAAGGGTTTGAATGTGGAAATAGCCAGCTCATCTGCTATACCCTGCCCGGTAAGCCTGTCTGACTGAAAAACCTGCCAGCCATTCACTCGACAACAGAGATAGCAAAACAGTGCAAGAAGGGCACAAAAGAACCTTTAGAAATTTTACCATTCCATGCCATTGCAACCACAAAACTGGAGTGTGCCCTCAACACTACAGAGTAAACAAAAGTGCAAAAGAAATGGATGATTTTTATGAGACCACAACTACCCCTAGGCCCACCCACTTGTGGATACTAGGGGGAAGATTCTTGCAACAAAGACCAGGGCAAGGGTAATTTTAAGATGGATAACTGCAGGATCAAGGTCTTATTGCAAAGATCAGAAAGTCAAAGAGGGTTGAGAAATCAGTGAAGCTACCACAAAAAAGACAGAACTATTAGCTAGGGAATTGCATGTGGCTAACGAGGCTTGAAGCACTGATAAGGGTAGGGAATAGGGCAGGAGATGCAGAGGGCTTCCAAAAGAAAATCCCCCAGTTCCCTGTTACAGCAGAAATTTCACTCATAAAAATCACCACTTGCCTCAGAGGGCAAAGGTTCTAGGGCACTAAACCTCGAAAAGAGCCATAACAGTGACAAGCACTTAGATACACATATAGTTGCCAACTCATATGTGAGGCAGAGACCTTAGCACCACAGTGAGAAGAAGCATGTGTGCCTTTGATGTATGTTTGAACTTGCCAGTAGAAAAGGAACCAGCCTGGTACTCCGCAGAATGAAAGAAGTTAAATTCTTTTTATTTTCTTTTTTTTCCCCATCCTCCCCACCTCCAAATGGAGGGCTCCGGAGGTGCAAATTCAGCACAATGTTAGCTTGCTGATAGTCGAAAGGAGACAGCAACCAACCTCAGCAAGATTCTGCTGAGCCTTCACGAGTGCCTCTTGCTTGGCATTGATGAATCTCCACTGCAACCAGCGGTTGTGGAGTACCCTCACATGCCTTGCAAGCATCTGGGGGCTCATGCTGGAGACAGGTGGCTGGGAAACCAAGGGCGCAGGGACGGAAGAAGAAGCAGGCTGATGAGTAGGGCTTGGTGCACTGGTCATGGAACGGACTTTGCCCCCGTCTGCATATGCACTTCGAGGACGTGGACCAGGACTTAAACCTGCCCTTGGAGGTGTTGAAAGGGGGGAGCCACCTGCCGGAGGCTGTGCAAGCAATAGTGACCTGGCTGTCGGCGATGGGGGTGGGGAGGATGAACTGCTCACAGCCAGTTGCTGCTGTCTAATCCTGCTTGGAGATAGTGTCCATAAAGCAGGACCGCCCAGGTTGTTTCCCGAGAGGGGATTTGGTCTCCAAGGGGATCCAATGGGTTTTGGCAGTACCACAGCCCCATTTGGCTGGTTGTTGCTCTGAGCTGTAATTCCATCGCCGGGCCGACCCAGTAACGATGAAACCCTCAATGCTGGCTCCCTTGCATCTGAACTGTTCTCTCTGCGGGGATGGTTCTCCACCATTCCTTCACCCTCCACAGCTATTCCTTGCCGCCAAGCACTGCTGTCCCAAGTTCTTGACCGCACCATGTCCCGAGCTGCTCTAGAACTTGAAACCACTGAAGACACACTCTCAGAATCATACCGTCCATCCCGATTTGAACTTGTTGCTCCCCTATTCATTTTAACTACCTCATCTACAGTACCAGCTCTGTCATTTGTACCCCCATCAACCCTTTCATCCAGTCTTAAGCTGCCCCCTCCATCAGGTTCTCTAATTGCCCTCCTGCTTCTATCACCCAGCCCTCCACTGCCTTCCCCTCTACCCGATGGCACCGATGTTACATCCCTGAAACCTACATCACTATTTGACCTGACATGAAGCCTCCTTGTACCTCTATCTACAGCACCATTTCCCCTATCCACAACACCGGATGGTGTGCGAATCATCACCCCTCTCTCAGTACCCTCTCTTCCCGCTCCCATCCCACCCCCAGGACTCATACTTGCTTTCCCAGCTCCAGCAAAACTTGCCCTTCCTGCTGCAAAACGGTTATTGGGTGTTCTTACAGTGCCAGTGGCACGACCACTGACCTTCATATCTTCAATCATAGAGCTTGTCATGCTTTGAGATTCTGATAAGCGAGCTGCCCTTGAAGTGCTTCGGGACCTAACCTCCTGGAAAGTGTTTCTTCTGTTTCCCGGGAAGTCGCTTTCCGAGCTTGAAAGGTCAACACTCCTGCTCATTGCAGAACCCACCAAACGATTATTTGGCATTTGGATCCTCCTCACCTCAGCTCGAGAACCTGTGCCCCGTGCACGTTCCCGCAGCTGTTCCTGCCCTTGTTCCCTTGCCCGGTCCCGCTCAAGCAATAGTCTTCCCTCTGGGCCTTCTGGTCCCAGTATGGTTGCCCCCCTTCCTGTCACAGGACCATTTGCCTTGACACCTCGTCCTCCACGTCTTGAGACATTGCTGACCATCCCATTTCCTCCAGTTGCATTTTCCCTGATCACCTCACCTCTCATGCTGATTGCATCCTGGTCCAATCCCCAGCTAGACCCTTTTCGAACAGAACTTGGCCTCTTGCTCTCCAATATTGTCACTTGCTTTGTTGGGGTGGTGTTGCTTTCTGCATTCCGTGCATCAACAGAGCTGTCCAAATAGCCAGCAGAACTATTTGTCCTTGCCCAGAGACCCACATTTCCTGGTAAGTTCTGTGCGAGCCCAGGCTTAGCTGTTGCCCGTGAGACCGAGCTCCTCTCCTTGTTTAACGAACGCTTCCTTTCCGTTGATGTGGCTCGAGGCAATGGCAGATCAGCCTGCTTTGCTTGTCCCAACAACGGAGTAGGGTACCGCTTTGGTGCAGATGGCGGGCGGGTTGTAGTGGTCTTATACCTTGAAGATACAACCCGGTTCCGCGATCGTTTTTCTTGCACTGCATAAAGGAGACAAAACAAGAAGTTAAAGCTCAGCAGATGATATTTGAACAGGTGTAGGGAGGCAGTGTGCCTAGGGGTTGCTTGCACATCCTCAAGCATGTGTGTATACTTAATCATTTGTTTGCCCAGGCATATCCTGATGCATCCTTTCTTTGCATTTCTTTAGAAACCTAGGGAACGAGAGGTCAAGCACCAATGGATCTCGATGACAACGCCACTTTACTACTGATAACCACTTCCATTTTTTTTGTCTGTCATTGTCCAAGCTTCGGAACTCTTCCAGCTTGGAGTAGTGCCAAATCAGTGTTACAGTCCTGGCATTCCAACAGTCCTCTACACTCCTTCCCGGCGTAAAAGCTGCAGTACTTGGGTTATGCAAAAACAAATTATGACACCCAATACTACTACCCCTTCCCACACATGACACAGACAAGCCAAGCTGGCACCAACACACACATGAGTGGATATCCGTGGCTGAGTGGTTGTGTAGAGGGTTTCATGGCAGTGACAGACAAGTTTCTCATACTTCCTGCCATTCTTGTTGGGGGTTTGGAGTGACAGTCTGCTAGGATTGCAGGGTTCGTCTGAGTAAAGTTGACCACTTTTCTCACTATGGGGTCGCTACCTTTGGGTGACGTGGTGAGTCCTTGCCCATCAGTCAAATGCATCCTGGACAGACTGTTGGGGTTCAACCTCCTGATAAGTCGGTAGAAGTTCAACGAAACAGCGTGGCACAGTCATGCTCTTTATTGTGGAGTTGTAGAAAGTGAAAATGGCAACACACACACACGTACCCATGGATGCACACGCACCCACGCACACCCACCCAGACAAACACACACACACACACACACACACACACACACACACACACACACACACACAGAGTTACACTTTTTTGTGGAGTTGGTGAAAGTCCGACGAAACAATCTGGCAGAGGCATGTTTTTTTTTGTGGAGTTGTGTATAGCGAACATGACAACACACGCACACACACAGAGTTTACTGCAACTGGAGCGAACAGTGCAACTGCAACAGACAACACAGTATACATGTAACTGTAACTGAAGGCAGAATGTGCCCAAGCCAAAAGGGGATAATCAGGAAGCTGTTTTACACCCAATGGCTCATATACCTTTCCTGACACAAGAAGGATAACACAGCAGGAATACACGCTAGTAAGTGTAACAGAACATCACCACTGCTCAGATGCATGACAAATCACAACGGAATAAGAAGACATGAGCAAACAAGCATTACTGGCCATGTCCATACCAGCCAGCATCGCATAAACCACTTCATGTCAAAATCTTTAATCAAGAGCAAGAATGTGCAAGGAATATGAGCGTGAGCGATTTACAGAAAACCAAGTTGCGAAATCACACAGATGTCCAGGTAGTCGTGTCCAAGCAGAGAGTACAAAATGCACCGAGAAACCATCCATATAGAGCAATACAATGAAGTAATGAGCCAATGYTCAAGCCCGTAGGCCACACCAACACAGTATCCAAAGTCGCTCCTCTCTGTCTGGCACCCAGCACCCAGCCTACTCTACCCGACTATCCTACCTACAGCTGGTTCACGCAACAGGCTCACTTCGACTCTCGAAGACCAATGTACATGACTGTCAACACCATAGC